CCCGAACTCAGGAACGGCGCTGAAGCTCCCGACTTCTTCGCAATTCAGTCAAGTTGGCGGAGGCCCAGCAACGACGATAAGGGCTCATGCTCGATATTTCCTCGCGATTAACTCCGAGAGCCCTGTCCAGGAAGGCCCCCGATCTCAGGAACGGCGCTCTCGCTCGAGACTTTCTTGTGATTCAGTTGGTGGAGGCCCAACTACGACGACAAGGGCTCTCGTTCGATACTTCCTGAATATGTATTCGCAAAGGCCCTTACCAGAGAGGCCCCCGAACTCAAGAGTGTTGCTCTCGTTCGAGACTTTCTCGTAATTCAGGCAAGTTGGTGGAGGCCCAGATACGGCGACAAGGGTTCCCGTTGTATTCCGAGATCCCCTGGCCAGAGAGGCCCCCGAACTCAGGAACGGCGTTCTCGCTCGAGAGTTCCTCGCAGAGCAGTCAGTGGCCGACAAGGAAGATATTCCCCCCGAGAAAAGGTACTGCTGCTACTACTACGACTTTTTTCTTACCACTACCACGTACTACGAAGTGGCTACTACTATTATTATTCTTATTACTACTACTATTACTACTACTACTACTACTACTGCTACTACTGCTACTACTACTGCTACTACTGCTACTACTACTACTACTGCTGCTGCTGCTGCTGCTGCTACTACTACTACTACTACTACTACTACTACCTACTTTTGGTAGTCGTATCATTATTACTATTACGTATTAGTATGCACAACTGAGTATTACTTCGTACCACCCACTACGTAGTACGTACTACGTACTGAGAACTGGGTACTATGTATCACGTATCACTACTACTATTGTTATTCTGTTCACTACGAGTATTACTACTACTACTACTACTACTACTACTACTACTACTACTACTACTAAGAGTACTACTGCTAGTACTACTACCATTGCTAGTACTACTATTACTATTCTTACTACTACTACTATTACTACTACTTTCATTCCTAATTCTACTACTGCTACTACTACTACTCCTACTACCACTACCATTCCGAATGCTACTATCACTGCTACTATCACTTACTACTACTATTTCTACTAAACTACTATTACAACAACAACTACTACTACTACTGCTACTACTGCTACTATTGCTACTCCTGCGACTCCTCCTCCTCCTCCTCTTCCTCCTCCTCCTCCTCCTACTACTATTACTACTACTACTACTACTGCTACTACTACTACTACTCCTACTACTACTACTACTCCTACTACTACTACGACTGCTGCTACTACTACTACGACTACTACTACTATTACTACGACTACTACTACTTTGATCATTATTACTTTGATTCCTACTCCTTTTGTTTTCCTTTCATTCTTACTAATACGACTATTGTTATTACTACTACGGCAGCGATAATTATTATTGTTGACACTATTTGATCATACTATCTCAATTATTTGGATTACTACTGCGAACATGTCTTGTGGACCCCTGGGACTTCCTAGGGCCCCCCAAGGATTTCGAAGGGAATCGTCCAGATTTCCGGGGGATTCCCAAATGGTTCCTTGAGGCTTTTGAAAGACTGCCCAGGAAGTCTTAAAAATTACCCAGGGATTCCTGCAGATGCGCTGGGGAGTCCCACGGATTCCTTAGGGAGTGCTAAGGATCCCAACGGATTCTCCAGGGAGTCTCACGGATTTTCTAGGAATTCCTAAGGTGTCCCTAAGAATTCCCGAGGGAATCCTAAGGAACTCCTAGGGTGTCTTAAGGATTTCGTATGGAGCGCTAAGGATTCCCAGGGAGTTGTAAGGATTCCGTCGGGTGTGCTAAGGATTCCGAGGTGAGTGCTAAGAATTCCGTAGGGTGTGCTAAGGATTCCGTAGGGAGTGCTAAGGATTCCGCAGGGAGTGCTGAGGATTCTGTAGCCTACGGATTCCTTAGGGAGTCCGAAGGATTCTGTAGGCGATCCCTAGTGAGTCCTAAGGATTTCTTGGGGATTCCCAGAGGGTTCCTAAAAGATTCTCGAGGGATTCCTAGGAATTTCGTAGGGCGTCTTAAGGACTCCGTATGGAATTCTAACGATCTCTTAGGGAGTGCGAAGGATTCCGCAGGGAGAGCTACGATTTCCTCAGGGAGTGCTACGGATTCCTGAGAGAGTCCTTAGTGGGCCCTGGATACGGCGGGGCCGTTTTTTTACCGGTTCCTTGTTTTTTTACTGATTCCGACGCCGTTTTTCTACCGGTTCCTTGCTGTTTTTTGACCGGTTCGGGCTCCGGTTCCAATCCTGGAGCCGTCTTTTAGGCGTTTCGGGTCGCCGTTTTTTTGCCGTTTTCATTTTCAATGGACATGTTTCTGGAAACGGTGTTAAAACGGCCCTGCCGTTTCCGGGGCCTTCCGTGAGGATCCCTGGGGGTCCGAAGGATTTCCGATGGATTCCCCAGGGATTCCGAAGGATTCCTTCGGGATTCCGAAGGATTCTTTTTTGGGATTCCTAAGTGCTCCTTGGGGATGGTTAAGGTTACCCCACAGAGGAGTATCCAGCTCTGCCCCCCCCCGCAACGCAACGCAACGCAACCAAGACTGCACCGGCAGCCGTGTTGCGTTGCGTTGCGTTGCGTTGCGGGGGGTGGGGTGTCATCTGGGTACACTAGTTAGATGTTTCATTACGTGGGGGGAAAGGGCGAACTGGAAGACCCGGTCCGGGTACACCAGCAGGCAGTTCTGCTTGGTTGAATTTTCATTATTGAAGAATCATTATTGTTTATCCCCCTCAGGTGCACACTGCATTTTTCCAATTGAAGTGCCCCTCCCAGCGCTCGCTCCTTGTTTTTTATCAGGGAAAGTCTCCCTCCTCAAACTGTACCCCTGGCCCCCGGTTTACAATACAACAGCTCCCGCTGGATATTTCCTCGAAGTTTACTCCGGTCCCCCGCTCCCTCTTGAGACTTTCTCGTAATCTACTCAAGAATCGCGGTCCCGCTTGAGCTTTCCTTGCAATCTACTCAGGCGCCGCGCTCTTGCCATTCAGGAATCGCGCGTTCAGTGGCACTCGTCGTTATTTTTTGTTGTTTTTTTTTCTCTCTCTCTCTCTCTTTCTCTCCCTCTCTCTTTCTGTCGCTCTCTCTCTCTCTCTGTCTCTCTGTCTCTCTCTCCTTTCTCACTCCTCTTGCTCTTTTAGGGGCTGCGCCAAATACGTGTGGCATGTCAGGAAGATGTGCCCCCAGAGGGGGTACGATCGAAGACGAAGAGGGCGGGTATCGGGGGTTTGGGATATACGTGGTGAGGTACGCGCGAGGAGTTAAGAGCGGACAGTCTTAAAATGATTGTTGTTGGTGTTGGCGGTTTTGGGTTCCTTTGCTGCCGTCTCCCACGCTGACTAAGCTTGGTCTTTGGTTTTGAACGCTCACAAATTTCATTTTGATGTTATTCCTTCAGCTTTCCATCGTGTAGGGTCCCCGTTTTGAATTCCGCAGTGCCGCGCGCCTCGCTCCTTCTCCTCCCCCCTCCTACTTGTCCTTCTTCCCCTTCTCCTCCTCTCTTCTCTTCCTCCTCTTCCCCTTCCTGCTCCTCTTCTTGCCCTGGTCAATTTCGGCACACCCCTCACGCGCTTCGTTCCGGCACACCCATCACACATTCCCTGTTCCCCCCCAGGGAGTTCCACAGAGGGTCTTTGTGAGTGCGTTCGTATGGCGTCGCCCTGCCCATTTCGGCACAACCCATCACTCATTCCCTGCCACCCCAGGGAGCTCCACTGAGGTCCTCCTTGTGTGCGTTCGAATGGCATCGCCCCGCTCATGTCGACATGTCCCTCATTTGTATCATGCCCCCAGGGCCCCAGGGTTCTCCTCCGAGGGCCTGTACGCCTGCGTTCGCATGGCGTCGCCCCGCCCATTTCGGCACACCCCTCACGCATGTCTTGCCCCCCAGGGAGCTCCACCGAGGGCCCCAGTGGATGCGTTCGCATGGCGTTTACACCCACTCACGCGTTTCGTGGCCCTCACGCACACCAACCATCATTTGCTGCATGCCATCCGGAGTTTCTGTCTATGCTCGAAGGGTGTCACCATCGCCAAATTCAAACATGAACGCCCCTCTTACATGCCAGACACCCGTCTTGCTCCGCGCCGCGTTCATCGTCATTTTCCCCAATGCGAGTCGATCTGTGAGAGAACATGTGCGAATGGGGGACTTTCTTCGCGGTCTGACCGTCTTTGGTAATGTTATCGTGGACATTGCAGATAGCCTCATTTCTTGTTCATTGAACCGTCCTTTGTATAGTTGCCTTTGTTGATAGGTTTAGGCTCTTCGCCAGGCTACTGTGGTTTTATGTTGTCCTATGGTTCTCGATCTTTTGCCTCTTCCTCCAGATCCTCTCACCATACCAATTTGCTTTCGCAGTCAGCCTCTTACCCTACTGAGGAAACATACTACGCAGCAAGCAAACACAGCAGCCATCAGACAAGCACGCCAATACCGCAAGCAACATTACATTAGAGTAGAACACAGCGCAAGCAGACACAGGCTACCGCACAACAGCGCAATCATACGCGGTTTGGGATCCACGCGGGCAACGATTAGTCGGTATTCGCCAAGCACGCTCAGAATGCTGCTAGTGCGAACTGTTTGTGAGAGCGTGCCACACAAGCTCTTGAATCGGTGGTCTCCGATTACATGCTGTTGGTGCCCATTTTTTTGGACGCATGCTGATGTAGCCAGTGTGTGTCCTGCGCTGGGTATCCAGTGTGGTTTTTAAGGTTTTTTTGCGTCTGAGCTCTGTGGTCTTGCCAGCAGACTCAGTCTTTGCATTGACCAACGCAGGGATAGGCTGATCATGTCGGTCCTCTGTATGCAGTCTTGTACCTACCTTTTTTTGGGGCTTGAGGCCTGCTCGAGCGTGGTGGAGTTCAGTTTTCGGTCTTGCCAATCTGCTGAATCTCCTTTTTTAATCAATTAATGCAGCGCTCGGTGTCGTGAGACACATGGCCTTGTCGATGTCCGAGCTGTTGAGGCTAGGTCATGGTTCGGGCGAAGTTCTTTGTTGGTCTTGCCAACAGGGTGAAGCTCACTTTCGCGCGGCGAAAAGGGAGGCTACCTCCAGGGGATCATGCTCCTCATCCTTCTCCTTCCTCTTCCTCTTGCTCCTCTTTCACCTCCTTCTCCTTCTCCTCCTCCTCCTCCTCCTCCTCCCTTCTTGTTTTCAGCCCGTACCTCAGGAAAGGCAACGGCGAGTGTCCGACAGACCAGCGCTCGGTCGTTCTCGTGCGGGTGTGCCTGAGGGAAGCCGGGCCTACCAAGCCTCAGCCCCACCGCGTGCCCAGTTAGACGGCCGCATGCGAACCCTACCCATTGATTTGGACCAGCGAGGTTTGCTTCACCCGCGCCCTATCCCATCCAACGGGCTTCGTTGTCGTCGTCAGTGCCACCCGTGGCGGCGTCAGCGCGAGCCTCAGCATCCAGGTCGAGCGCGCACGAGCCGACCGCCACTCGCTGTGGCGGGCGTCACGCTGGACCGCCAGAACTGGTTCGATCTTCTCATAGCCGGCATCTGTCTCAATTTGGCGCTGCAGGCTGGGCGCTCACGCGACATCGTGGCTGTCCGCAGGTATTTCGACGACAACAGGCGATGCATGAGGCTGGCTGGGTTCTACTTCCCTGGCTGGCGCGCGCCAGTGGCGATTTGCAGGGTAGTTCGTTCGTTGTCTTTCGACGACGATGAGCTTCTGATGCTTGTTCGGCAACGGTGTCAAGCAACACAGAGGGCTGTGTCGCGCAGTCTCAGGTCAACCTGCGATGGCGACTACAACTCCACTCTGATGACGTCTGCTCCTCTCTGTTTCGGCACGATCCCACTATCAAAGTTCTGATCGGTCTCACTATCTATCAGTCTCACAGTTTGAACCGATCCCACTATCAGCCTATATACCGACCTCACTACCTGTCAACCGATCTTACCAACCACATACGTACTGGCCTTCGGCCCAGACCGCCCTCGTTCCTGGGGTTGTGGGTCAGTATCCTCAGGGCTGTCTGTTGGGGTCTATTGGGGGACTTTCGGGAGCCAATTGTATGCAGTTTTGAGGTCTCTTTGGGGCCGTTGTAGGGCCTCTTGGGGACTCTTTCGGGCCTATAGCTGCATCTTCGGGCCTTTTGGCTGCCTCTCGGGGGTCTGCTGGCGGTCTTAGGGACCCTCTTGGGGCGTAGGGCGCAAAACGCCAGTCTGTGTTCCCCCTCTTGGGCCTCCTTGGTGCCGTCTTGGGGCCCTCTTGTGCCGCCTTGGAGGCCTCTGGGGCCGTCTCGGGGCCCTCTCGGGGGCCTCTTGGGCCGTCTTTGGGCGATGCTGGGGGCCTCCTGGGACGTTTTGGAGCGTCGGAATGCCGAAAAGGCGAGAACACGCACATCCTTCAAGCACCTGAGAATCTACACGAGTTTCGTTTCTCGGGGCCCTCTTGGACGTGCTCTTGTGGCTCTCTTGGATCGTTTTGGCGGCTTTACTTTAAAGGAGGCTGGGGCAAAGACGAGAGATAGCGAGAGATAGCTGAGGATGATGTTGTGATTGACGATTGATGATTGATGATGATGATGATGCTGATGATGATGATGATGATGATGATGATGATGATGATGATGATGACGATGTTGATGGTGATGATAATGGTCATGCTGATGCTGATGCTGCTGATATTGCTGATGCTGATGTTGATGATGATGATCATGATGACGATGCTGGTGATGGTGGTGGTGGTGGTGGTGTTGACGATGAGGATGAGGATAAGGATGAGGAAGATGATGACGACGACGATGATGGTGATGATGATAATACTGATAATGATGATAATAAGGATGAGGATGAGGAGGACGCTGGTACTGATGATGCTGCTGATGCTGAGACGACGATGGTGATGATGGTGAGGAGGAGGAGGATGAGGAAGATGAGGAGAATGATGCTGAGGATGAGGATGGTGATTGCGATGATGACGCTGATGATGATGATTATGATGATGATGATGACGATGATGATGATGATGATGATGTTGACGATGATGACAATGATTATGATGATGATGATGATGACGACGATGATGATGATGATGAGGATTGTGGTGATAATGATGATGATGACGGTAATGATGATAATTAGGATGATGCTGTTGCTGTTGGTGATGATGATGACGATGACGATGACGATGATGCTGATGCTGCTGTTGCTGCTGATGATGATGATGCTGTCGCTTATGTTGGCGATGCTGATGAGCATGATGATCCTGATGATGACGATGATGCGGATGATCATACTGATACTACTAATGAAGATTGTGCTGATGATGCTGATGATGATGATGACTGTGGTGGTGGTGGTGGTGTTGATGATGATGATGATATTGATGAGGATGCTGATGATGACGATGATGCTGATGGTGATACTGATAATGATAATGATGATGCTTCTGATGAATACGATAGTGATGCTGACGACGGTGATGATGATGGTGATGCTGATGATGACGATGCTGCTGCTGATTATGATGATGTTTAGGCTGAGGAGGATGAGGATGAGGATGAGGATCATGATGATGATGATGATGGTGCTGATGATGCTGATGAGGATGAGGATGAGTTTGATGTTGATGATACTGATGTTGCTGATGATGACAATGACGATGATGAAGATGAGGATGAGGATCACGATGAGGATGTTGATGATGTTGATGATGATGACTCTGATGCGGATGATGATGCTGATAGTGATGATGCTGATGCTGATGCTGATGACGATGATGGTGATGGTGATGATAGTAGCAATGACAATGATGATGCTGATGACGGTGATGATGATGATGATGGTGATGATGATGCTGCTCATGATGATGATGATTAGGCTGATGACGATGAGGATGAGGACGAGGATCATGATGATGATGATGATGCTGACGTTGGTGATGATGGTGGGGATGAGGAGGATGATGATGATACTGATGATGAGGATGATGAGGATGACGATGAGTTTGATGTTGTTGATGAAGATGATGATGATGTTGATGATGGCAATGATAATGATGATGATGATGATGATGATGATGATGATGCTGACGATGATGATAATGATGATGATGATGATGATGATGCTGATGATGATGATGATGATGACGACAATGCTGATGATGACGATGATGACGATGATGTTGATGCTGCTGATGCTGATAATGATGCTGATAATGGTGATTGTGGTTTTGGTGGTGGTGCTTATGATGATGATGATGATGATGATGATGATGATGATGATTATGATGATGATGATGGCGACGATGATGATGATGATGATGATGCGGCTGATGCTGATGCTGCTGCTGTTGCTGCTGATGATGATAATGATGATGATAATGATGTTGATGAGGAGGATAATCATGATGATGATGATGCTGATGATGATGATGATGATGATGATGGTGGTGGTGGTGATGATGATGATGATGATGATGATGATGATGGTTGTGATGATGATGATGATGATGATGATGATGATGATGATGATGATGATGACGACGTGGAGGAGGAGGAGGAGGGGGAGGAGGAGAAGGGAGGAGAGTAGGAGGAGTCGGAGGAGGAGGAGGAGGTCGAGTGTAATTTAAAGACTCATCAACGATATTTGAATAAACCCTTCTTCCAAGCTTCTCTATTCGTAGGCCCCATACACGGATTCATGTCTCAATGAAGCAAGTGCCCTGTTGGGAGATAACCGTTAAAAGATCCTGAAGCGCGCCAAACGCCCTTCTCGGGACGTGAACGTCGCGAATCAACTTGACTGGTGCATCTTGACGACCCTGAATCGTGCCAGAACGCCAGTCTTGGGATTGCGACACCGCGACTCATTGTAATTGTTGCGCTCTAGCAATCCAGACTCGTTCCAAAACACAACAACTGGTACCTTAACCGTGAGGATCCGTTAAACTATCTTGTTCTTACACAGAACGAATGTGCGCGACGCTATGGCCAGAGCCGCATTTGGAAAAGGAGCCGACCGCAATCTGTGAAACTCTTGCACATTTTAAAACGAATGTTAGCGGCGCTAAGGCGAGAGCCACATTTTGATAACCACCCGCCCTCAAACCTTGTTTCTCTGGTATATTTTTAAGACGAGCGTGCCCGGCGCTAAGGCGAGAACCACATTTTGAAAACTACCCGCCCTCAATCCGTGAAGCTTTGGTAGGCTTTTTAAATCCAGTATACGCGGCGCTATGGCGAGCGCCACATTCAGGAAGTGGCCCGCCCTCCATTTGTGAAACTGTTGCCAATCTCTACTTTTCAGGATCATAAATGGTAAGGAAGTCTCAGGCGAAACGCCCAGCCAGCCCTTCGACCGGCCTCGGGGTGCGACAGGGGGTAGGGGTGGGGGAGAAGGGGTGGGGGAGGAAGAGGAGGAGGCGGAGGAGGAGGCAAAGAAGGAGGCGGAGGAACAGGAGCAGGAGGAGGAGGCTGAGGAGGCTGAGGAGGCTGAGGGGGCGAAGGGTGACGGCGACGCCGATGCCAACGACGCCGGCGCCGACGCCGACGGTGACGCGGCCGAACGACGGCGGCTACCGCGAGGCCTGCCTGCCAGCGGCGCCGGATGGCGCCGCGCCCCCGCTGGCGCCAGCTGAGCGTCGCGGCCGCCGCGAGGACCCCCAGGGGGCCCCGCGGATGCCCCTCGGATGCCCCTCGGAAGCCCTCGGCCGCGCCGCGCCGCGCCTCGTCGGCGACCTTGGGGGGTGGGGCTCGCGGCGCGCGGCGCGGGCGCGGGAAGACAATTCGGCGGTCGGCGCTGCTCCTGTGTGCTGGGATGGATGCCAGGGGGAGTGCAGTGCAGACGCTGAGATCGTGAGCGCCTTGGGCTCAGAAGTGGCCATGGTATTCGGGCCACTCCTGTGCATCTGTGCTGGGGACTCTGCTTGTGGCCCGGGCTCGCTTGTTCAGCGTTCCAGAGGGTCGGGGGCGGAAAAGAGGGGGGTGATGAATAGGGGGGGTGGATATCATGGCGGGGGCCATGATATTTCCCCAGATTTCATGGCGCCTCTTCTTATTTCATTACGTCCCTGGCCCCCCCGTTGGGCCGCGCACATGCCGCCAGTCATGATTTGCACCCCCCCCTCTTGGACACCCCCTTCTTGGCCGCTCCCGAGAGGGCATGGATACGCCGCGTGCTGCCTTCGCGGCCGAGTGCTCACGTGCCACGAGAGTCGCGTGCGGCCGTGCACGGGCGTGCCCCGGACCCCTCGGACCTCAGAGCTGCTGCGCTCCCCGGCGGCGCCTCGTGGCCTGCAGGGACCGATCTTTCGCTCGTGCCCCCC